CCTCACATCTCTGAAACCTGTAAGACGAGACCCTGCGAAAAACTGCTAGACCTGAGCACTCCTCGGAGCCCCCACTGAGCTGTCTTCCTATGGCATTAATAGCACTCCTAAGAAATCTTTTCCCCAAAACATAATCTACCCTAGTCCCTCTTGAACACCAAATTATGAGAACTTGCATCACGTACAGTTTTTTTCTTTTGTGGAAATATCTTCTGTTTTCTTGGGTATGCTATTTGAGCAATTTTTGAGACTTTTCAAGATAACAAACCTCCACGTGCACCATTTTGTATTCCCACCAGCAATGTATGAAGATATCGTTTGTCCAGATTCTTGACAACACTTGTAAAGTTTTTCAGCATTTTGTGGGGATGAACTGGTATCTCAATGTGGGTTTTATTTGCATTTCTCTGAAGGTTATGACTCAGAGCCTCTTTTCTAGTGTTTATTGGCAATTTGTGTCTAAACACATCCTTTGCCTATTTTCAAACTAGTTCCTTCCTTCCTTCCTTCCTTCCTTCCTTCCTTCCTTTCTTTCTTTCTTTCTTTCTTTCTTTCTTTCTTTCTTTCTTTCTTTCTTTCTCTCTTCTTTCCTCTCCTCTTCCTCTTCTTCCACTTCTTTTTGTTTTTTTGAGACAAGGTTTCTCTTCCTTTTGAGTGCTAGGAATAAGGCACACTACCATGTGACTCAAATTAGTTTCTTTTTGAACTGCAAGAGTTCCTTATTCCAGATAGAAGTTTTTTTTTCTTTCTTTCTTTTTTGTTTTTTTCCAGATAGAAGTTCTTTATTAGATATATTATTTGAAATGTCTTTCCTATTCAATAACTTTATTTGCTTTGTAAGAATCCTATCTTTGAGAGTTTTAAGTTTTGGAGCTGGAGAGATGACTAAGCCCCTAGGAACCTGGTTGCTTTTCTAGGGGACTTGGTTCCATTCCTAGTACTCACATGACAGCTCAGCCATTTGTAACTCCAGGCTCTGGTGCCCTCTTCTGGGCTCTATGGGCACTGCATTCATGCATACACAGACATAAATGCAGGCAAGACACTCATACACGTACAATAACAGTAAAGAAAAACAACATGGGCTGGAGAGATAGCTCAGTGGTTAAGAGCACTGACTACTCTTTTTTTTTTTTTTTTTTTTTTTGGTTTTTCGAGACAGGGTTTCTCTGTATAGCCCGGGCTGTCCTGGAACTCACTCTGTAGACCAGGCTGGCCTCGAACTCAGAAATCCGCCTGCCTCTGCCTCCCGAGTGCTGGGATTAAAGGCGTGCGCCACCACCGCCCGGCTGACTACTCTTCCAGAGGTCCTGAGTTCAATTCCCAGCAACCACATGGTAGCTCACAACCATCTGTGATAGGATCAGATGCCCTCTTCTGGTTTGTTTGAAGACAGCTACAGTATACTCATATACATAAAGTAAATTTCATATATATATATATATATATATATATATATATATATATATATATACACAAGCCTCTGTTCCATGCCTTAGAGCTGTTGCCTGCCTCCTATTTTCCAGAGTTCATTGCATAGTGGACAGTTTAGACGGGGAGATGGTGGCAACATTTTTGATTCCTTACATATCCGAATTATATCTTTATTTTATTTACAGCTGTTTATGAGACTGGGGTCTTGTTATGATTTTATCTTCTGGCCTCAAGGGATCCTCTTGTTCATTCTCTTCCATGTGGCAAAATTACAGTTATATGACACCAGCCTCAGTTTCCCCTCACCTTTATTAATATTTGAGATGTTATAAAATTCTAGGTTCATAATCATTTTGCCCAGGTAAAAATACTTATTTTATGTGTGTGTGTGTGCTTTTATAGGTGCATATATGTGCAATGTCTGTGAAGACCAAAAGAGGGCACCCCCTGTAACTGGAGGTACAAGTGGTTGTGAGGCACCATCTGGGTGCTGGGAACCAAACTTGGGTCTCCTGAAGGAGCAGCCAGTTCTCTATCCCGTTGAACCTCTGTAGTCCCTGAAAGTTCTTTAGGAGCCACTCACCTATTCTTCTGTATTGATGGTGCTGTTCTCTCTCTTCAGTTCCATGTAGTTTCTCTTGTTGAAAGACTTTAAAACCTTCTGTTTTCCTCTTTTGTTCTGATACAACAGAAAGGCGTGTCTTTAATGCGATTCCTTTTCTTTCATTGTGGTAGCTAGAACCCACAAGTTAGTCTGGACAAGCTCATTTAGTTCTGGAAAGTTGTGTTGCATTTATTTTATAATTAGTTCTCCGCCCACACATTTCCTTTTCTCATACATCCCATTTTTTCCCCTTTCATATTCCTTATTACTCAGACCGGTGAACTACTTGGCATGACTTTTTAATTTCCTTAATTCGTGTCTCTGTCTTTCTGGTTCTTGGCATTTCTTCCCTGATTTGTTTTCGGCATATGACCATAATTTATTTCTCTTGGAATCGTCTCTGTGGAAATTCCCCAAGGTCTCCATTGAAGAGGCGTGAAACTCACCAGGGAGGTCCGCACTGCTCTTGCTGGTGCTGGCTGCCACTGTCGATGCCAGACCACTTGGAAAGTCTTGCCATGATGATTTTAGGAAGAAGAGATGCTGAAGCTCTCAGAAGTGAATAAAACTAGGATTTCAGGCAAAGTATTAAAAACACGGTTCGAGGTTATGAATTCAAATACTTAAAAGGACAAAGAGAGCTTCAGCAGGCATCTAGTTTGCAAATAATTTGAATTGCTGAGCACGTACATGGGTGCCAGTACTTTAAAAATGCTCTTAATTGCCAATACAGGGATTCCAGCTTTAGGTAGGGGCTTTCTGTTAGGTTTAGAACTTTGAGTAAGACTGTCATGCTGTCTCCTATGTTGCTCTGGTACCCCATGAGGCCACCATGCTCAGGCTCAATGCTCAGCTGCCTCTCTGGATATCAGCTTTCACTTGTTTGGTCTTTGGTCCAGGTTTACTTTCTTGTCAGCTCATGAACATACGTTTAAAATGTATGCTCAGCACTTGGGGGGCTGAGGTGAGAATACTGCTTGATCCATCACAGGAAACTAAACCAAGTCCTACTTGCCATAAGTGACCTAAAAGCCAGGCAGTGGCGGTGCACACATTCAATCTCAGCACTCGGGAGGCAAGGGGATCTCTGAGTATGAAGCCAGCCTAGTTTACAGAGTGAGTTCTAGAACACACAGGACTATACAGAGAAACCGTGTCTTGAAAACCAAGTGTAAAACACAACGCAATAAAAAAAGACGGGGGGGGGGGGGAGGGAAGCACCTAAAGTAACAATTTTAGAAAAGAAAAATAAATGCACGTATCGTAATCATGGTACTTAGATATCTGGTAACAAGACTGGACACAGGCTTGAATCTACGATGTCCTCTTTTTCCTTGTCTTTCTTTTGCCATTTGGCAGAAATTTTGCTGTAGCTCTTAGTCAGGTATTTGTCACTGTGTTTGTCATACCTGCTCATGAGCATCAAAATGTCCAAACTTGCAGAGTGAATGCCAGGCCCTTGAAAGGACGTTCCAGAGCAAGACAAGGCATGTCTTCTGTCAGGAAAAGCTGCCTCACCAAAGACTTAATGGCTTGCACATAAGACTACATGTGGATGTCTGAGTAAAAACATGAATCCCTGAGAGGCGGTCTCTGGGGGGATAGGGATGGAGCTCACTTGGCAGAGTGACTGTCTAGCAAGCAAAAGGAACAGAGTAGGATGGCCAGCACTGCAGAAACCAGGCATGGTGGTATACTTCTGCAATCCCAGCATTCAGGAAGCAGGAATAGGAAGATCTGAATTTGAAGGTCATTCTTGACTACATTTCATGTTTGAAGCCAGCCTGGACTACACAAGTCTCTGTTTCTGGTGGGAAAAAAAAGTCTCTGAATGTCAAGTTGTAACTGATCTATTAATGTTATTATTTTCTCTTTCCCTTTGTATGAATGCCCAAGAGTGAGATATAAAAATTTACACAGCATCCAAACTTAAGCTTCCACTAAATGTAAAATAAAAATTCTAAGGCTAAGACAATGTAATCATATGTATAGATCTCTTTAAAGATGTACAGCATAAAATTATGTTGAGTTTTACAATTGGTGTCTAGGGAAGGGATACTAATGGGGGAAAGAAGAAAAGTCTTTAAGTATTGAGAAAGAAAAATCGATTCTACTTAGTTTTTGGAGGAGGGGTAAGGAGGAAAGGGGTGGGGCTGGAGAGAGATGGCTCAATGGTGGAGACAGCTTATTGCTTTGGCAGAGAGTTTGGTTTCCAGCACCTCACATGCACTCAAAACCATCTATAATTGAAGTTCCAGGGAATATGCCCTCTTCTGGCCTCCACAGGCACCAGGCATGCACAGATGCAGGCAAAAATGTGTACCATAAAATAAAAATAAACGAAAAAAAATGAAAAAGAAAAAAAATCTCCAAAAAGCAAAAACAGAAAATAGGGAAGTCTAGTTTAATTCAGGTTTCTGGGCTGAGTTAACTAAGTCGCTGTGGTAACCTAGAAAGAACAGGTTTAGGGACGAAGTTCGATACAGGGTAAGCTACATTAAAAGAGATGAAGGAAGCCTCTGTGGGTTTTACGGGCTCAGGCAGGCGTGGTGACGGCGTGGCCGTTTGGCCAAGGGTTTCATGAATATGCATACACTGCTGAACCTCCGCGGCCAGTTGGATCCCAGCGTCGAGGTCACCTGGGTTTCCTTTCGCCAGGTGCTGTGGGCGGGAGCCGTAAGAGTGACAGCAGCCTCCAGCTCAGCGATTGGTTAGTAGGCACTGTAACCGGTCTAACTCAACCGCGGAGACCGCCCTCAGAGCTTGAGCTGGACATTAAACAAGCCACTTTTGTATTGGTCAGTGAAGAAATAGAAATAAGAGGACAACGGTAATTGCTGTAGGCTGGGGGCGGAACTAGCAGGACATACCCCACGTGGATTGGACCTGGAGGCTTTGACGTCATCCTAGAGGCGTGGTCATGTCTAATAAAGCCTGGAGTCGGCGCTGCACCTGCAGTAAGTTCCACCGCAGTTAGAGTTCCGGGTGGTTCGTGTGAGGCGGAGCTCGGCAGTTCCGTCTACTTCAGCCGCAGCGTCTCCCTGCCTGTCTCGTTGCATTCTCCAGAGAGGGGACGGACCTCCACTTCCTCTTTCAGAAAAATGTGAGTTGACTCTGGTCTAGGGTCCTCGACACCTCTTTACCGACTCTCCCCTGCAGTGTCCGACTCTGCGGGACGGAAAATGGCGCATTGCAGCAGCTGCGGCGACGCCGGGAACCACCAGCTCGCGCCGCCCCCAGACCGGGCCACCCCGGAATGCGGCCAGCGCTCCATCCCGCACCAGCAGCTGCAGCTGGCACTCCACGGCAGGGCGAGGGCTGGGGTCCCACGTTCATTGCACCCTCCCTCTTGTCTTTGTATCGTGGAACCCCAAAGGGGAAAAGTGGGGGAGGTAGAGATTCAGACAGGGAACTCGGAGACCCTTTCTTGTTTGACGGACCCTCTTAAAGCCTCTGGAAGACTTATAGGTGCACCTGCCCATCTCTGGGTTTGTGCCTGCCCCTCACCCAAAGTGTGCTGTGTCTGCTTCATGGCTCTGTGCAAAGCTGCAGAAACTTACTTGCTAGTTCTGTGGCGCCTTGTGAGCAGCTCAGAAAGTCTCAGGGGACAGTGGTATGAGATCCTAATGCTGCAGCCGTTTATGCTAAGGTGATTTCCAGTGATCAAATCCTAGCCAAATATTGGAGGAGAAATAGAGAGGACAGTGAATTTCTTCATTTTATCCAAAACACATAGTTTAGTCTTTAGCTGTTTTTGGCACCATCTCCTTCTGAAGATCTGTGGCTAGATAAATTAAGAACTTCCCTTTAGGATCACATACACACAATGAAGGATTTTCTTTCTTTTCATTTATTATCTGGATCTCTTGCCTGGTGCTAGATACATTTGGGTTTGTTCTCTCTCTTTCTCTCCCCCTCTCTCCTTCTCCCCTTTCTCCCTCTCCCTCCTTCCCTCCCTTTCTCTCTTTCTTTCTTCCTCTCTCACTCTCTCCTTTGGCTTTTCCATATAGGGTTTCTCTGTGTATCCCTGGCTGTCTCAGAATTCCATCTATAGACGAGGCTAGCCTTGAACTCAGAGATCCGCCTGCCCCTGCCTTCCAAGCTCTGGGACTCAAGGTGTGCACCACCACACTCTGCTTGTGTTGCTTCTATTGACCAAGGGAGGGGGTGAGGACTTTGTATTACGTAAGGATTATAACTCCCTGGATAGCTTAGGGTGGAGTGTCTCTACCTCCCAACAGATAGTAAGTGAAGCAAATTCTCTAAAGCTTTCCAGTCATTTTATCCTTTCTCCTTGAGTTCTGTGGTTTTAACATTGTGTGCAGTTTTTACAAGCCCATAGAGTTTGGGGTGGGGGAGGGGTCCATCTGAGCCGAATGGCTGATTCATGTGTGATCAGGTCATTTCATGTGTGATGCTTGGAAGGAGGTGGAGAAAGCATGGTGGCCAGCAGGGAATCACGAGGTCTCTGACCTTAATCCTGTCATTGGTGCCACCGTCCTGGACTCCTTCCAACACTCGCTGCTACCAACTCATTGACACCTCTGCCTCTGGTCTAGAACTAGATTGCTTAGCTAGCTCAGTAGCAGTGCAGATCCCGTGGTTCTCATGGCTTTGCATCTTCCTCTCTGTCTAGGAAGGAAATGGGAAGGCGACCCTTTAAAGTGGAAGAAGCCGGTGTAATCTGCTAATAGAGTCTCTCTGAGGGGCTCTTACGTCTTGTCTAGAACATTTCACTTAGTTATGGAAAAGGAGATTCTACATATTAATTCTGTTGTAATTAATCAAAGAATTTACTTTTTCAGCAACATTCTGGTGGCTTAACCTTTGTACTTATTCTTGGACTTTTCTAACAAATATATATATTTATCATTTAAGAAATTTCTATTCTCCATCAAATTTTAGGTTTCTCTCTTTACCTTGCTTGTGTGGTCCCCACCATGGCAGGAAAAAGCACCTTCCATAGGTTTGATTCTGGGAACTCATTAGCTGGTGAATGTCAGAGAGAAGTTTATCTTCAAGGCCCCACAGTTGTTTAACCTCAGCAGATGGGAGGCAGAGGCAGGTGGATCTGCATTTCAGATTAGCCTGATCTACATAGAGAGTTCCAGTATACCCAAGGCTTTGTGAGACCTCATTTCAAAACAAAACAAAACAAACACCCAAAACACAAATCAAACCAAAGCAAACCTACTCTGGACTATTCCCCTCTGAGGCGGTGGTAACACCTTGCCCTCAGTAGTGCTGGAGGAGAGACTGGTCCTCACGTGCACAGCGGTGTAGTTCCAGCTTCCTTTTCTGACACGGGACTAGGAGACTATCCCAAGACATCGCCCAGTCTGAAGAGGAGTGGACAGAGCGTCTGCTGCGTGCACACTGGGGACTGTTTCTAGCGTTTTTGCTTCTGCTCTGTGCTTTTTGGAACAACTAGTATAATTGTCTGAGGCCTTGATTCAATTTAAATGAATCTCTTTATCTTCTCTGTCAAGAACAACACAAACAGACCTGATTCACTCCACCTCTACAGACTTGGCTTTAGGTGGTTCTCCAAACTGTCTTTGCAGCAGCTGTAATGTACTAGTTACAGTGTGAAGCATAACTGGGAACCAGACCCCCCCCCGTCCCCTCATAAGCAGGGTTATTAGCTTGCCCCTTTCATATTCAAACTTCAGAGTTCAAGCATCCTTACAATTTAGTGTTTTCTACAAGTTTCTCTTGCCCTGGATTGAGTTGTCCCATTTTATTTCATGTGAAGAGCTTCTAACGGCCAGGCAAGTTCCATATATGTCAAGGCTGGTGTATCTGTCCCTGTGGCCATTGTGCCAGAGGATGTGTGAGTCTGCATCTCAATACTTGCTTGGGACGGCTGAGGAGTTAAGATGCCTTCCATCTTCGTTCAGCATTTGCTTTGGTCATGTGAGGACACATTTGATTCTTTTCTTGTGTCAGTTACTTTGTGTACTCTTTGCTTCTCTCCACAGGTCTGCTCCAGCTCAGCCACCCGCTGAAGGGACCGAAGGGGCTGCCCCAGGTGGGGGTCCTCCTGGTCCTCCTCCCAATACGACCAGTAACAGACGGTTACAACAAACCCAAGCACAAGTGGAGGAGGTAGGCACCTGACACACTCCGTGAGGGTGACTAAGTCAAGGCTTACCTGTCTTCCTCTTTTTTATAGGAGAAAGGCTGGGGGCTGTGGGGGGAGTAAGGCCGGCAAGCATCCCATGGATTCAAAGGCCTTGGCTGTGATCTCCCAGGCATCATTCGTTGTCTCTGTCTCTAGGGGGGAATCTCAGCATCTTTATTTCTGCAATCTCCTCAGGTGGTGGACATCATGCGTGTGAATGTGGACAAGGTCCTGGAGAGGGACCAGAAGTTGTCAGAGCTGGATGACCGAGCTGACGCCTTGCAGGCTGGAGCCTCAGTATTCGAGAGCAGTGCTGCCAAGCTAAAAAGGAAGTATTGGTGGAAAAACTGCAAGGTGAGGTTCCCTGCCCTCTCCAGCTTTCCCTGCCTCACTCCGCTCTTGGGAGGCAAGAGACCCTCTTAACTTCTCATTTTCTTTCCTCTGAAATCTGGAGCCTCCTTCATATGTATTATCCGTGTTGGCCACCAGGGTATGCTAGAGTACTCAGAACCACTGAGAAAGCCCTATGTAGAGGAATTTAGAATTTAGACTAGTGAAAAGACTTCTTCCCATTAGTGTCTTCTGCAGAAATTCTCACCTGGCTCTTTCCTCGGAACCCCCCAGAAGCCATACCCTCACTCAGTATATGTATTTAAATATCCACAACTTCTGAAGCCCCAGCAGATACTTCACAAAATTTCTTTATCCATTGGAATTCCAAGAAAAAAAAAAACAGCAAAAAACAAACAACCAAACAAACAAACAAACCAGCAACAGGAAGCAAACAACTTGAGGTTGCAGGTCCCATGCCCCTGAGTGCAAGGCTCATGCTCTGCCCTGTTCCCTCAGATGATGATCATGCTGGGAGCTATCTGTGCCATCATCGTGGTAGTAATTATAAGTAAGTATCGCGGAGGCTGCTGATGGGGTGAAGAGGTGGGAAGGCCCTGGAGTCTTCTCCCAGCCCTGCCTGCCTGCCTGCTGCCTGGGGTGTGGGGCTGCTCTGCAGAGGTATGGAGACGGCTGCTGGGGGATCGTCGCCTGTTTTGGGAGGGAAGAAGGGCAAAAACAAGGACTTTCCTTGATGGACAAGCATCCCCCTGCAAAGAATTGTAGGGAGACTGCCCCTTCTGCTGAGGAGGTGGGGTCATGCTGTTTGTCACTCACTGGCTTGGGTCCAAGGGAGACCTTGGGGCTGGGGTGCCTGTTACTGAGAGACCTGAATGTCTAGTGATGTGCCGTAACCTGCCCTCTTGTTCTCTCCTGTCTCTCTTTTTCTTCTCCGTCTGGGACTTCCTGGTTCCTGTGTCCAGTCTACTTTTTTACTTGAGAATGTGCCATCCCTTCCCTGTTCTCCATTGCCATCCGAGCTCATGTCTCTTCCCCTCTGTTTGCTCTCTCAACAAATTCCTCCATCTTCCACTCTCCATCCTGGCCCAGGCTTCTCCATGATCTTTCCTTTTTTGTTTCATTCATTTGCACTCTTCCTCAAAACTCGAAATGCTGCTCGTGGCACAGTCCTGAAGTCACTACCCGGAGAGAACAGCCGGCACCTCCTCCTTACCCATTTATTGTGTACCCTGGAGCTTAAGAGTTGTAGCCAAGGGAAGGAGGGGACAGGAATGGCAGAGGTGAAGGTCTGAGAAGTTAGCATGGCTGAGGGGAGGAGAAGGGTATTTGTGTCCATGGTGTCTCTGAGAAAGGCTGGCCTTTGTCAGGAGGGGAGCAAGAATAGTTGGGAAGTAGTAGTTTGCTGCTAGTGTGTATATGTATATGTATATGTATATGTATATGTATATATATTAGTTGGGAACTACGACCTGCTGTCCTCATTTGGAACTTCCTTCCATACCAGGCCTGTCTTGGGTTCCACAGGTCTGTTTAAAGACCAACTTCGAATCCCTTTTAGAAAAAGTCAAACTTGTATTTTGTAGCTACTATGTATCTGTCGGTACAGGATTTTCTGTGTTTCTGGGGAACTTTACAGCCTTTCGCTTTGTTCTCTGCAGGCCTAAGAAAGATGTACTTTCTGGTTTTAAAAATGGCATGACACTCTTACCTTCTAGAAGCTGTCCCACATGCTTCTGACTAGAAGCTAACTCTTCATGTTGTCTGAAGCATTTGATGTTGTTCATGAAGGCACCAAATAATTTCAGTGAATCAGGGGCTTTGAAAATTCCAGGCTTTCAGGAACATGCTTCTTGCTGTGTCACTAATGAAAGTCCTATAGCTCCCTTGTTGTTGATTATGAGAAATGAGAGTTACATGGTAAGACTCCCAGGCTCCCACGGAACGCTTTCCTCCACTATACCCTATGTGTACGACAGGGATGAGGCAGGAGAGCCTTTCCAGATTTAGAGAAGTCCACAGACCCCACAGCTCAGTCTTGGATAGGAGGGTCCAGGCTATGCTGGTGTACCGCACTGCTGTGTGGCATGGGGCCTCGCATCCGCTGCTGCCTGCCACTCCCGTTAGTTCTCTCTCTGTAGCCACTGTGCCCATCCATTCTGCATTGGCTCCTTCTTCTCACTGCATGCTCTGTGTCTGTTGGAACGGAGGGTAGGAGCTGCGCAGTCTGTCTTGGGAGCTTCTGCTGAGCCTCACGATAGGATGCTGCATGGGATAAAGCCAGGTGCTGGGAGAAAGAGGAATGTTCTCAGACCTTTATTCCTTCTGTCCTCTGGTCCACAAGCAGGAAGAGGCGGGGACCATGCTAGGCTGGGTGCCCACTGCCCACGCGGCAGCATTTCATTCTGCAGAACCATCCTTCCTTTCCCTCTGCCCATTTCCTACGTTCCCTTCGTGCTGCCTCAGGGCAGGACTGAAGAGCTGGAAGAAAGCAGTCAGTGTACCCTCCCAACGTCCCCTGAAGGTCTCCACTGTCCTCTGGGCGTCCCTTTGCCTAGTGCAGGGGGGTCACCGCTGGAGAAGAACCAACACTGTCCTCGGTGTGTCCCAAGCCTGGAGCATATTTACCCTGTTGGCCCACCCAGCCCCAGCACGGGCATGATTGCCTGGGTCTCTGTCCCTCTAAGGCTTACCAGGCGTAGCTGGCTTCGTTCTGCTGGGGGTGTTAGTCCTTCTACTTTCTTTCTCACCTCACCCTGAAGCCCTTTGTGTCTCTGCGGTCTTCTTCCCTTCCCATCCATGTGCATGAGCAGATATGCAGCTAACCCCGGGACTCTGCACTCAGTTGAAGCCAAGCTTCCCACATCTCTTTCTTTGTTTGCCATGAGATGATGTGGGGCTTCCATCGTGTCTGTCATTACCTCTGTCTCTTTCCTAACCCAGTCTCACAGTTCATGTATAGTAGTGAGAGTTGTACTTCCACCAAAGGCATGTGACATATTTACCAATCTCATGTATTCTCAACAAAGGCGGAAAAATACAAATTCCTACCACAACATCGACTCGATTGTCGTTTTGGCTGTGCTGGGGACAGGGGGAAGGTGACGGGGAAGGTGTTGTCCTGTGTAGGCTCTAGGCCAGAAGGGCTGATGTGTGTATTCTTTGGTCTTCCTGGAGATTAAAGTCTCTGTGTTGGCAGCGGAAGTGGTCTGTGTCTTAGCCTTCATACTTGAAGCAGCCAGCCTTGTTGGTGCTGGTGACAGGAAGTGCTGACAGGAAGCTGAGTGGGCACCACATGCTGGCAGATCCTTGCAGGCTTTCTCAGCCTCTCCTAGTCACCTACACCTGCTTGTCACATCTCACAGGTTGGACCTGGGGGAGGCTTCCAGCCCGTACCTCCTTGATTCTCATGCAGGATTTGCTCCCCTTTCAGTTTAATTTTTATTTTCTTTAGTTTTTCAAGACAGGATTTCCAGTATGCCCATCGTGCCTGCTGCATACGTGGATTCTCCATACTAATTCTTCTGAAATACAAGTTCACTTTTAAGACCTGTTCCTATTGCATGCATGTGGGTGTTTGTCTGCATGTATGTATTTACACCACATGTGTGCCTGGCATCCAGCTCCCCTGGGACTAGAGTTAAGATGGTTGTGAGCCACCGTGTAGGAGTTGGGAAGCAAACCCAGATCCTGTGCAGGAGCAGCCGGTGCTCTAACCACTGGGCCACTGGGCCATCTCTCTAGCCCTCCTCCACCTCCTTTTAAGACATTGTTCTGTTCCTAATAGTGTCTGCAAAAACTAGCTTCTAAACCCAGAAAACCTTTTTCTTTCTTGAGACAAGGTTTCTCTTTTGCCCTGGTTGCCTTGGAATGTACTCTGTAGACCAGGCTGTCATCAAACTCAGAGAAATCTCCCTGCCTCTGCCTCCCAAGTGCTGGGATTAAAGCATGCACCACCATTCTCAACTTATTTTTTTTTTTTAAATCTTTATTTCAGGCTGGAGAGTTGGCTCAGCAGTTAAGAGCACTTGTTACTCTTGTAGAGGACCTGGGTCCAATTTATCGCACCTACATGAGGGCTCACAGCCACCTGTAATTCCAGTCCAGGGGGTCTGATGCTCTCTCCTGGTACCAGGCATACAGGTGGTGGTGTACACTCTTGCACACAAAACACTTAGCACATATGAAATGGTAAGATAAATCTAAAAAGAACTTTCAGAGGACCCAGGTCCAGTTTGCAGTACCCACATAACCACTAACACCTGCAGAAGCTGCAGTTCCAGGAGCCCCAGTGCCTCGTCTGACCTCTGCCTGCTTGTGCTGCACATACACACACACAGGCACACACGCATACACAAATATTTTTAAAGATGTATTTGTTTTTATTTCATGTGTATACTTGTTTTTCCTACATGTATGTGTGTACTACATGCATGCCTGGTGCCCAAGGAGGCCAGAAGAGGGTACTCGATCTCCTGGAATTAGTTACAGATGGTTATGAGTGACCATGTGGTTCTGGGAACCAGATCCAGGTCGTCTAGAAAAGCCACCAGTGTTCCTAGCTACTGGTTGCTATCTCCCCTCTACTTCCCCCACCCCCCGCCCCAGTTTTCCCTTTTGATAACAGACTTCATAATCCACAGTCTTTTTAGACTCGGGTACATTGAATCCATAAGGCACTTCATAGCAGTGAGGACAGGGAACCTCTCCTGCAGCTGAGGGAGTGTTGTCTGACTCTCCCAAAACTGGCAAGTGTCTGAAGGGTCAGAACCCTAATGTCTGATGATGGAGCAGTGCAGATGTCACTCTGGGAGGTCTCTCAGGGCCTCTGCTTCATACCTTGACACTACAAGTTGGAGCAGCTAGGAATGTTTTCGAACCAACAGGGAGAAAGAGAAGAAAGTGCTCTGTAGACAGCACGTTTTTATTTTGACAACGTTAGCATTCGAGAGTGGTGACAGCCTCTCTTCCCCTCACTTGCCCCTTCTTTGATCCTTTTTCTAAGATAATTTTTTATATTTGATTTTTTTAGTTTATTCATTTTATATTCCACTATCAGCTCCCTCTCTCCTTCTAGTACATCTTCATGAAGAACGTCCCCCCCCCTTCCTCCTTACCCTTTGAGAAGAGAGAGCCCTTTCTAGGTAACCCTCTCCTTGGCCCCTCCCAACCCCCCGATTTCTTAATACCTCACATAGATGGCATTAGCCTCCGCTCTGATAATTCTGCCCTCCTCTTGTCCCATCCCTTTTTATCAGCCCAGGGTTCTTTTCTCAGTAGTACAGGGAGGCAGAGACTTGTACAGACCAGGGCCAGTACCTCACTCCCAATGTGTTGCTGCCTTCAGGCCCGCTCAGCTCCACACCTTAACAGAGTCCTTTAGATAGCCAGAACACAAGTACTTTACTTTGTACTCAGAGGCAGGCAAGCAGCTACCCAGAGTGCCTCATAGTCTTGATGGACCTTGACGAAGAAGCTGAGAAAAAACAGAACAAGATTGTTTTCAATTGGGATAATTCCAAAAAGTAGATGTTGGGGGTATGGTAGAAACATCTGGAACTCAACACACTGGATTTCATCCCTGGTTTGGGTGGGCAGGTACTTGGGAGTGGGTTGATCTACAAATTCACCTTGCTGTCTGTGAAGTCCCAGAAACAACAGCGCAGAAAGGAAGACAATGCTGGCAAAGATGACTCCAAAGGCTCCGCTCTGCTCTGTGGGTGAAAATGAGCACAAGATCACATGCTGAGGCCTCACCCTACAGTACCCCTCCCCTTGGGAGGGGAGCTCTGGCCTGGGTGCTGTGAATCCTCACGGAAGGACGTGGGCTGTGCACACAGCAACACCTGCTCTTGTTCAAGACTGTCAAATTTATGTGTTGCTTTTCTGCCTCTTACTGCATCAGGGCTTCATTGTTCTGAGATGGGGTCTCATGATGTCCAAGCCGGCTTTGAACTTAGAGTCCTGCTGCAGCCTTCTAGTGCTGTGATTATAGGCATACCCCACTATACCCTATTCTACCTCAGGACATTTGAAAATGCTTTTCAGAAGAGAATGAGGTTATCCCGTGACTATCAGCAGATAGCTGGGGAATGATGAGTGCCAAAACAAAGGTGAGCTTTGGGGAAGCTCATCGTCCAGGAGCGACCAGACCATGTCTTAAGCTCTTGGATATTTCATTGTGGACATTTTTTTTTTTTTTTTTTTTTTTTTTGCCTAAGACTTCAACATTCTGTGGCCTTTGGGATGAAGTGTATGGCCCATCGAAGGTATAAGGTGTAAACACTTGAGGGCATTCAGCTTCCCTTGGTTACAGTTTCTCTTACACCATATATTGGTAGAGAACCTTGGGCAAACTGCTCGCTGTCTGCAAATACCAGCTTACTCATCTGTAAGATGAGTCCTGGACATGGTAAAGGTGTCGTGGTCCCAGCTGTTTGGGAGGCTGAGTAGGAAAGCTGCTTAGCAGGGGTGTTTGAGGCCAGCCTACTCGGTAAGACCCATTTCCAAAAATAAACAGGACGTTTGATGTGTGAGACCATCCTTAACAGTTGAGTCTATTGGGGGAGCAGAATTGGCTAAGGAGTCAAGAGCTCTTGCTGCTCTGGCAGAGGACCTGGGTTCCATTCTCAGCACCTACATGGTGGCTCACAAGCATCTGTGCCTCCATTGCCAGGGCTCTGATGCCCTCTTCAGGCCTCCATGGGTATTGCATGCACATGGTGCTCCTCCATCAGGCAAACCGCTCAAACACATATGATATTAAAATCAATCTTGAAAGTTGAGTTGGCAGTGCTTGGTGATGTTAGTGCGCAGGTGCTGCTCTCTCTCTCTCCCTCACATATCCTCAGCTACGGCCATGCTCCGGGTTCTCTGGAGGCTTTTGTGCCATTCGATTTTCACATGGACTGTGCTTCCAGTCTTAAGGGCTCCCTTCCTGCTGAGCTTGAGCGGGGCTCGAGGGTCTGTTTTGGGTTTTCTTTTCTACCTGCCTCAGCTTGTCTCTGCAGCTCCTAGTGGGAAGGAACATCACTCCTTCACCCTGATACCCAACCCAAGCTGACTCTTCTCAGTATTTGGAGGCTGGGGATTCATAGTGGTAGAGGCTGCCACTCTGGGAAAGATAAAGTCAAGAGTGTGCAGAAGGCGGAACTGAGGAAGTGCATGGGCATGCGCACAAAGCCAAAGATGACCTGGAAGTGGGGGAGTCCCAGCCTGAATGTAGGGGAGAAAAAAGACACTCCCAGTACCTGTGTTTGGCAAAACCTTCATGCTGACTGTAAGGGGCTCCTCCAGGGAGACGTGGGTCACTTGGCAGATGTAAGTGGCACCTGTGGGGCCTGGCTCGGCCGTCACCATGGAAGAAATGCTGTAGGTTCCCATCACGCTCTGTCTGTGGTTGGAGAAGGAGGCACCAGAGACTTGGGCTGGAATTCCACCCATCTCCTCCTCCCGAATCCACGTCACTACCACATCCAGAGGATAGTAGCCAGCAACGCTGCAGACGAGGGAGGGCAGCGGGTCCTTGTTTGCCAGGTTCATTCGTACTTTAGGGGGAGCTGGAGAAAGAATGAGTAAGATTTTAGAGGTATCCGACTACAGCCTGCAGGGGAGCCCGACGCCTCTTGAGGTGAAGGCACATTATGGAGATTGAAACTTCTCAGGGTTTCAAGATGCTGGAGTGATGGCTATTCCTCGACACAGGTCATAAAAGGAATCATTTGCTGGAACTGGCCAGCATTCTCCCCTCCCCCCCTTAAAAATAGAGCTGGGAAGTCAGCCTAGGGCCCTGCAAGTGCTAGCAAGGGCTGTACCACTGAGCCACACACGCTTTCGTTTTCTCTTTATCACTTCTGTAAGCCAGTGATTGCTTATTGTGATCAGAACTGTTCTCTCTGTCTGTCTTTAGTTGACTGTTTCCCCCCATGAAGTGCTGGGAACATAACATGAAGGTCCTTGTGGCCACAGATCTCCAGGGCAACCAGGAATGAAGCATGTAGGACTGCCTTTCCAAAGGGAAAGATGTAAAAACAAAAATCTGTTCTTCCATCCAGAAAGCTGGGAATTGGAAGTGATTAACAGCCTAGTGATCTGTGTTATCTGTTGGGCCAGGCTGTACCAAGCTCCTCCAACCAGGACTGGAGGTGGCTGGTAATCTAAATGACCCTTACATTATCTATATAACCATGGGGCTCCCCCAGGCTCCCAAAACCAAGACCAGAGGTGGCTAATAGCCCAAATGACCTCTTCACTGTATGACTGAGAACATCTCAGAGCCTTCCCTAGCCCCTTAAGCTACTATAGGTAGCCTATCTCTAGAACCCATTTCCTTGGAAGAAATGACATGTACTCTAAGTCTAGTTTTGATGTAATTACAGGGGATTGTATTATACCAGGAAACGTTTTTTCCCCAAATTATATACAGTCTTTAAATTTGTTGGGGATAAACCACCTCGTATCAGACTTCCCAAGTCCGATCCAGATTGAACAAGTCTATCTGAATCAAGGTTTCTTTCTCTTTGTGATTTACTTCCCTGCCTAGACACCTACAGGATCCCTCTTAAGGAAATGGTAAAGGAGATTGAAATTATAGATGGCCAGCCCAGGGTTTTTGATTCTGATCTAGTTATTCCTTGGGGGAATTATCTTGGCATTCAGTAAGACTCCTGAACCGATGCCACCTGTATCTTGATAATGAAGATGGTGCTTGGGTTGTGGGAATGCATTCCTTCCCTCAGGAAATCATCTCTGGGTTTGGATTCTAGTCTGGGAAACATTCCCATAGGCACCTCCCTCTTCCTTATCCCAGAAAAACCAAGGCCCGACCTTACCCAGGATGGTAAGTGGTATGATCTGTTGAGCTTGGTACAGAGAGGTAGAGATCTGGCAGATGTAGCTCCCCTCGTCCTCTATAGTGAGGTTGGGTAAGGTGAGAGAGGCATTGCCAGCCATGAGCAGCTGCTCAGGATCCAGGGCGGCGCCCTTGCGCTTAGCCTGCCCCTGCCCTGTCTTCCAACTGTATACCAGCCGGCCACTGCCTTTATGCTGCAGTCGCCACTCCACGGCAGTGAGGACCAGGCCTGGTGCCATGGAGAAACTGCAGTGCAGGGAGACAGAGGACCCCAGCAGGTGATTCAGGGTTTGGGTCTCTGATGTCACCTGGAACTCCACTGTAGAGAGAAAACAAGGGTGACTTACAGACTGTTTCTTCCTTAAGGTCACCTGGCCTCTGAGCTGTGGCCAGACAGCTTCTCCAGGTCCCTTCCCTGGACTGCGGTACTGACTGAGTTCATTGCTTGTCCAGTGGAGCCACAAATTAATGGTGTCCCACAAGGGCAGCGTGGCACGCATGAGAGCCTGAACCCACGATCTTGCTTCAGTCTCTCCAGTGCTAGGACTGCAGATGTGTGTAACCACGTCCAACGTTACTAGTCAGTCCTCCTCATGAATAAAATACTATCAAGTCCTGTGTGCACTGGACCCATTGTTACTATGAGTAGGGCACTCCCCAGCCTTGATATGTGTCTGAGATCACTGGTGATTGTGAAGCAGAAAGACCTGGACTTTGAGCTGTCAGCTATAACTGCACACGGGAGCATTAGGGGGTGAGGTGTTGTGGTACCTACAGGTTAGTCAGTTCAGGGGGGAATATCTGTTTTAGTAGAGGCAGAGGGGAGCTATGACAGTTGATGAAGTAGGTCAGAAATAAGTCAAGGCTGTGTGGGTATATGTTATTTCATTTATTTGTAGATTTGAATAAGCTCAAAAAGGGAGAAGCACTAAGCCACCCACAGCCTAGGATAGGAGATGCTGGCCATCTTTCCTTTTGTGATGTGGACATCACATTTAGAAAGGGCCTTATAGCCAGTGGGTGTGGTACATGCCTGTACCATCAGCCTCTGAGGAAGTATGACAGGGTCACAAGTTCCAGGCCAGCCTGGGCACCTGGGTGAGAGCCCTGTTTCACAGTAAAACTGAGAAAGGAGTTATACCTACAGCCCTGTGGTACAGCTTACTTTAGCACAAGGCTCTGGGTTCAATCCTCAGTATGAGACAAACTAACACCAAAGGCTAAAGTTTTAGGGGTTTGCAGGGATGGGAGAGGAGCCCCCTCATCTCCATCTTCTGTGGCCTCGATTTTTTCCTTTTTGGAGGTAAGATATTGAACTGGACTCTCCAGGTGCCTGTCATCATATTCCCTTTTGGTTTTGAATGTGGTAGGAGGTACTGAGTGGGAGTGGACGTGGACCTGGGCTCACTAACAAAAGGCGCTGAACATATCTGTCTCCCTGTGTGCTGCTGTGATTGGCACAAAGCATCAGATTGGACTTGCTTTCTGTGGGAGGAAACAGGAGTTTGGCCGAATAAGACAGCAGTGACAATGGGTGTAGACACAGTGTCCTCACGCATTGCTTCCCCACGACAGCCCAGTGAGATAAAAGGCATCTCTACTTTGGAGAAAATACTCGATGATTGTTATGTTTTGACTCTTGCTCGAGTAAGGATCTCCCAGCATCCCCTCTTCCTCCTCTTCCTCTTCCTCCTCTCCTCCTCCTATTCTTCTTTTTGTTTTTTTTTTTTTGTTTGTTTGTTTTGTTTTGTTTTTTGTTTTTCGAGACAGGGTTTCTTTGTGTAGCCCTGGCTGTCCTGGAACTCACTCTGTAGACCAGGCTGTCCTCAAACTCAGAAATCTGCCTGCCTCTGCCTCCCGAGTGCTGGGAATAAAGGCGTGGGCCACCACTGCCCGGCTACATCCCCTCTTCTTGACTCAGGATATTTTAGCAAGCAAAGATGAAAGTCTATGGGGTACCTCAGGAGGACCTATGTGATATTCATTTTCTTCCTTCTATCCCATCTCTCACCACAAAACAAAACAAAAACCATCTTGGGGCTATTGAGATGGCACAGTGGTAAAGATGCTTGCTGCCAAGCCTAGTGAACTAGTTCAATCCCTGGAACCCACATGGAGGTCCTACTACAAGTTGTCGTCTGATCTCTACCTGTGTGCTGTGGCATGTACACACACACACACACACACACACACACACACACACACACTATAATAAGAAGTCCTCCTCGTACCACTGCATTTTGTTGTCTCACCTTCAGTCTTCACTGTACCCTGGGGGCTCAGGGGTAGGTTCAGCGTAGGGTGCCAGACAGCTCCAGCTTCAGCATGTCTTAGAGTCTTCATCACCATGGAGACACCGGGCCCCCCTCTAGATACCTGCATATTGCTGATGAACCAATGTGCTTTCTCAAAAGCGGCCTCTTGTCTGGCATGGAAGAAATACTGGGAGATCTCACAGGTTACCACCTTCCCACTGCAGTCGGCATGGAGCAAAGCCTCTGCCTGGGGAATCTGTACCAAGTCCACTGGGGAGAAGGGCAGCACACAGAAGTGACGTTGGAGGGGAGGCAGGTGTGGGTAGATAGGACTGGGGACAGGGCTATCCCTGTGGAGGAAGCCTAGGATGGGGGGCTTTTACCTGAGGCCTCGAAGATAACAGGTGAACCATATTTGGTCTCCGTGTTCCCTTGGAAATCTGTGATGCCTTCCAGGGAGCCGTCATCCTGCACTGGTACCTGCTTCAGCACAAGCAAGGCCCTCTCCCTGTCCCCACTGCTGGCAAAAGCCCCTCGATGCCTGTCTTCTGTCACCAAGAAGCAGTCTAAGACGATGTCCGTGGGCTGCCACCGTCTTTCTGCTGTGGGGGGCGCTGTAGGGGGGTCTGCAGGAAAGTGAAACAAGCACTCTCTTCCACACTTGCTTCCCACCCTTCAGCAAACAGCAGGCTGATCATCAGGTAAAGTTGCCTTCTGGGTCCCACTGTCTGAGTGTAATTACATTATCTATAAACCCAGCTTCTGGAGAGGCGCCTGCTACTCAGGCAGCTGTTCTGAATCATTTCAAATGCTAGATCTATCCTGCTCAAAGCCAGAGGGATTTATGCTTTTATATTTCTGGATTTCAGCTGTGGGATACAAGGGAAGTTTTTGAAAGAAATTTTCAGGTTAAAAAAAAAAAGGAATAAGAAATATTGCCACGGGGGAGGGCACTTGCTGCTCCTAGGGATATTGACAACCATTTTCTCATCATCCAACCTTCCCAGAGGCCTCTGCTTTCTGCCATAGCCACGCCCACTAGGAGTCACCTCCCAAGTGATGTCTAAGTCTGGGGAGCCCCTTCTTCTAAGGGTTTAATTCAGAACAGTGAGCTCTGCCACAGAATGGTAACACCCTGCCCTTCCACAGAGGAAGCCTTTCTTTTCTGTGAGTTCTCTGCCATACCCCTCTCCAAATCGGTTCCACACTTTGTGAGTGCCACACTCATTTGCCAGGCTTAGTAGACAAGGTGGCTTCCTGGGGCTCCTTTTGCTCAGAGCTTCCCCCTCCCCCAAACCCCAGCCAGGTCTCCAAACTCACCAGTCCCTGCCGCTGCAGAGACAGCCAAACAGAGCAGCAGACACCAGCTGGGCTCGGAGCCCATGGAGGCTACTCTCTGGCTCTTCCTCGCAGGCTGGCTGCCTTCTCCACAGTTCCCCTGCTTGTGATCTCTGGCTGAAGAGGGGGCTCTTTGAGCACCCTCACTTAGCACCTGTGGTCTCTTGTTTGCTTCTTGTATCCGTTTCTCTTTCACTTTCACTTCAACTGCCTCTGTGGCCCGAGGCCAGTAACAGCAGCAGCCAGAACCCTGCTCCCGTTTTCCCTTCTGTCCACCCTGCACCCAAGAAATCCCCAGGTGATTTCAAAACCTGGTATCACCACATCAGATTTCCCATCAGCCCCAACTATGAGAAGGCTAGAGAGGGGGTGGAACCAGAAGATAGGTTCCCCAGTAGTCTGGACCTTTCTTTCTTTAAGTCCATGTGAATCCTTTTGTTCTGCCCTGGTGACAACTCCCTGTTCGGATCCATGATCCCACGGAGGAGATGAGGTGTGGCCTGGTTGTGGGATTGGAGTTTTAGGAGTCTGGACTGCTATACCGTGAAGCCTGTTTTAAATTGCATTTGTGTGTATGCAGGGTTTACACTTGTGTGGGGGTGAGTATACCCAGCCGCGCCTGCGTGTGAACAGTCAGGGAGGGCACTGGGTGTCTTGCTGTGTTACTCCACCTTATTCTTCAGAGACAGGGTCTCTCTCTGAACCTGGAATTATTTGGTGGCCAACAAGCACAGTGATCTCCACTCCAAGCCCCGCCCTTGCCACACCCCTAACCCCTTGAATTGCTAGCACTCAGGGCCCCACTGAGGGGTCGTTTGTTTGTTTGTTTCATATATAGGCATGAGTAGTTGAAGTTAGCATTCACATTTCATCCTTCTTCCCAGCTCCCTGTCACCCTTCTTTTTTTCTTCCTCTTGTTTTTCCCTCCTAATTTTGTAGGAAGGGAGATAGCATGTGGAGAATTTCCATAGTTATCTTGTTACTAGAGTCCCTGGGTCATAAGGCCTGGCTCTGGGCTCCAGTGATGGCCTACATAGAGAGAAGCGGACAATGCGTATAGAAGTAAACAAATGAATTTATTTATAGTTTTAGCTCAACCGAGAGAAAGTCCCCAGCTTCCCCACAGTACTGTCACAACTTACAGAGAAGACAGAACCAAAGCCAGGAAGTCTGTGTGTCTGTAGATAGTGTCGCTTGTGGCAGTCAGTCCTTCTGGCACCAGGGGACCTGCTGGTAGCCCATTAAATTTTTTTTAATTTTATTTTTAATCGTGTGTGTGTGGTGTGTGTGTGTGGTATGTGTGGTGTGTGTGTGTGTTTGTGTGTGTGGTGCATGTGTGTGTGTGGTATGTGTGGGATGTGTGTATGTATGTGTGGTGAGTGTGTGTATGTGGTGTGTATGTGGTGTGTGTGTGGTGTGTGTGTGTGGTGTGTGTGTGGTGTGTATGTGGTGTGTGTGGTGTGTGTGGTGTGTATGTGGTCTGTGTGTGTGGTGTGTGTGTGTGGTATGTATAGTATGTGTGTGTGTGTGGTGTGTGTGTGGTGTGTATAGTATGTGTGTGTGTGGTGTGTGTGTGGTGTGTATGGTATGTGTGTGTGTGGTGTGTGTTTGTAGGTGTCAGAGGAGGTCAAAAGTGTCAGGTCCTCTGATATTAGAGTTACAGCTGGGTTTGATCCATCTGTCAGCGCTGGGAGTCAAACTCTGGTCCTCTGGAAGAGTACAATGTGCTCTCTGGAACCCTTGGTGGGCCATTTTCTCCCCTGGTATGTAGTTTTGCCAGCCAGAAGGCTTCATTTAGAGTAAGTATGTTTTACAGCTAGAGCCTGAGTCTCCCCCAGCTTGCTGGACCACACACCGGGGTCCTGCACTTGTCCTATTGGTCTCAGAAGGACAGTTTGCATAGACACAGGAAAGGGTTCTGATGACCATGGTGGGGGAGCTCTCTGGATGGTGCCTCAGCGGAAAGGGCCCCACCTAGCACTGGATCAAGGGTAGGAAGCAGGCTCAGGTTTCCGGTAGTCTTCCTGGATAGGGATGGCGCTGCCCTCCTCCTCCCTGGGGCAGCTGTAAGGACAAGGCTCTTCAGGCACCGCCTGGCTATCTTCATCTGTACAAAGACAGCCAAGTGTGGGTCAGCGGTGGAGAGAAGAGAGGAGGACAGCCCGAGTGGAGGGCTGGGAGGTGGGGGACTTAGGGGAGCCTGTGGGAAGGACACCGGAGGAGCCAGAGTAGGTGGGCAGAGTCGGGAGGGATGGGGGCTTTAGGTGTGGGTAGCAGAGCTGAGAGGGCAGGAGGGAAGGCCTGTGTCTTACTTGGCCCATGGTTTCTTCTTTGATGGAAGAACAAGATTCCAGCCAGGACGAAGACAAGAAACATGCTGGAGAAGGTCACAAAGATGCGGATACAGTCTGAGCTGCACAGGGGTCTCTGGGCTGTGATAGGCAAGAGGACATGGGGAAGCTTTGGGGGAGCCTCTAACCCTGGACCCCCAGCCCCGTCTGTCCTTTTCTTGAGTCACCCTTCCCGTTGGACCCTCTCTCCTAATCTCTAACTAGATTCTGCATCCCTTTGCTTTACCTCCAGCTCTGTCTGTCTCTGTGTCTTCCTCCTTTTGCGCATGTGTGAGGACATGCAGAGTTCAGCTGAGTCCCTTGAGACAGGACTCCTCTCTGACCTAGAAGCTTGACTGGTTAGCTATGCTTGTTACTGGCTCTGCCTCTGAGTGTTAGGGCTACAGATGTTACGGGCTTTCATACTCAGCTTTTTTCCCCTGTGGCCCTGGGTATTACGTCACACTTGCACAGCAAGTTATCCACTGACCTTTCTCCCTAGCTCGATAACCCTGTCCCTCACCCAGTGCTTAGGGGTTTCCCAGTGGGTGGCTGTTCTTTTGGCCTCTTTCCTATGTGCTTTCTCTGTGGGGTGGGGATTAGGAAGACAACTCACATGACTGGTGGCTATAGACAGTTGAGTCTGGAAACAGCCTATGTAGAGGCCAGGATGGCATCTCTGGAAGAAACAGAGCGAGTCACAGCAGGAAACCTCCCAGGGTGTCAGGGCTGAAAGCCTGTGATTTTGCAGGAGTCAGAAGGAAGACAAGCTAGATCCTAGCTGGGGGTTAACACGAGTGGGCAGTGCTGGACAGGCTCCCAAGAGACTGGCTAAGGAGCAGCCTCCTACGTACCTGTGGCGTAAGGTAAGTGGGTGGATGGCGGCTGTGGGCTCGGGGCTCCCGACAGCTGGCTGGTCAGTGCTGGATTTAGAGGAGGGTCACACTCTGTGCATTCCTGGTCCCTGCACTGCCAGCCCTTGGAACAGGTGCACTCAGCATTGGCAGTGACTGTGCAGTTGCGGATGAGAAAACCTTGGGAGAAAGAGGATCCCCCGGTCTTTAGAGACCCAGGGTTCCTACTTGCCCCTGATCCTCTCCTGAGGCCCTGAGAGTCACTCACAGGGTATGAATGTTCTCCATTCCCAGCAGCTTACCTGTTTCCCCTCTGCCCCTCCCTCCCTCACTGCCCCCTGCCCCTCACTCACTGCCCCCTGCCCCTCCCTCACTGTCCCCTGCCCCTCACTTACTGCCCCTGCCCCTCCCTCACTGCCCCCTGCCCTTCCCTTGATGCCACCTGCTATCTTTCCCAGGCTCAGAAACAGAAACTGAAAGTAGAAAAAGATTGTATGATTTTCTTTCCTACTCACTGCTACCTTAAAGCTTTTTGTTGGCATATCATACACTACCCACCCCCTCAAGACAGGGTTTCTCTGGGTAACAGTCCTGGTTGTCCTGGAACTCACTCTGTAGACCAGGTTGGCCTCGAACTCAGAGACCTGCCTGCCTCTTCCTCCCAAATGCTGGGATTAGGCGTGTGACACCACCTGGCATTACTTATATGAAACTTTTAACACTTGGAGAATAATTCAATTTGGTTTAGGCACAGTGTAATATTTCTGCAGGACTTATCTGAAAGTCCCGCAAAGCAAGACTTTTGTTGTTAGGTGTTTGCCTCAGCCTAACCATTCGGACAGTTCTGTTACTGGAGCTTACTAGCCAATTGTCTCTACATTCCAGAACAACAACATATTTCCTATTAATATTATTAAAATCAGCTTCTCATATATATATATATATATATATATATATATGTATATATATATGGGTTTTTTTTGCAACAGTAATTAAAGAGTTCTTTTTTTTTTTTCCTACACACAAAGTGTTTCACTGGCAACCATTATTCTTAAATTGTGCTATTCTAGTGTACGATAACACAGGCCTCCCGGCCCCCTGGCCTAGGTGGGAAAGCGGCAGGGGAGTTGGAAAAGAGACTGCAGATATTCTACCTCTTCCTTTGCAAAAATTAGACATGTATCAACTAAGAGAAATGATAGATCTATTTGTTCCTCCCCCCAAAAAGGCTTTTGTGCAAAACAGTTGCTATGCCCTGGTTTCTGGTGTTATTCCCCAACTCCAGCCTCTGAAGAGCTGACCTGCAAATGTACGTACGTATGGGAATGCAGGCTGGTCATTGGTTGGAAGTTCCTTTTTTGGAACCTGGGTTTCTGGAACTTCCGTCCTCTCCTTGCCCCCCCTCCGTGCTTTCTAAATTATTATTATTTTTTTGAGTGTACTCATGAACACATACGACCTCAGAGGACAACTTACCAGTTGATTCTGTCCTTCTACCATGTGGCCCAGAGAATGGACTCAAGCTGCCAGGCTTGGTGCAAGTACTGTTGCCTACTGTGCCATCTTGTTATTTTTTTTTTCTCTTTTGTGAGACAGGGTCTTGCTATGTTGTTCAGCCTGGCCTTGAACTCCTGTGATCCAGAGATCCTCCCACCTCAGCCTGCCTTGTGGTTGGGATTACGGACATGTGCGACTGCACAGGACCCCTTATCCTTTTGTTGTCTCAGTCCTATCCATAGAGTCTTTCTCAGCCATCCCTCAGTGTGTCTTCCATAAAACACTAGATCTCTTCCCACATGCCTTGCCCAGGTGCACCGTGTTTCGGCAAGGCTCCACTTCCCATGAGCCTTCAAGCGGCAGAAGCTCTCTGACTACACAGCCAGGCCCATTGGTCTTGCCTCCCTGGACTCTTTCTCAGTGCTACCCTTTGCACATGCTGCCCCTCTCACCAGAGTTACAATGCCTGCAGCTCTCGCAGTGGGGTCGGGTGTGGTAGTCTGGAGAGAAGGAGGTGCCTGGTATGCACGGGTCACACTGAGCAGCTGTTCTGTCCTGGTCGCAGTCTTTCACAAAGAATGTACCTGTGAGCAGAAGATCTAGCATCAAGTCCAGGAAGGTGATGGCTCCAGGCTCTGCAGGCTGCCTGACTTGGGCTCAGCCTTATTCCGAGCACCTTCCTCATCATAAGCACCAGTCCCCCCCCAACCCCCTCCCAGCCCTGCTCAAGCTCTTACCTGGCTCACACATCTGGCAGCAGAGTCCTCCCCCAGTCCAGTAGTGTTTGTCTGGACAGCTGTTTGGGGCTGGGGTAGCTGAGAGCCCTACCAAGGTCCCCAGCATGCAGAGCCAGTAGGGAGGTGACCATGCCATAGCTCCTGCCCAGGGAGATCTTTTCTGAGCCCCAACTGCTTGTACCGAGTCACTGGTGGCTCCTATGTGCTCTGGGCAGCAGCCACTGTGATTCCACTTGGGTGGTAAACCGACCTTTGAAGGCAGTTGTGGCTGTTTTGGTTTCTTTGTCTCTCTCTCTCTCTCTCTCTCTCTCTCTCTCTCTCTCTCTCTCTCTCTCTCTCTCTCTCTCTCAGCAGCCTCCACCCCCTTTTCTTTTCCGCACTCTGGAGAGACTATGAAGGGGCAAACCCAGGCCTGCGCGCTTCACAGATGTGTGCCCTCCTGGGCACCTCTCTCAGTAATGCAGCCAGAGTCTAACCATCTGCACATGCCGCTGCGTACACACAGCCGCGGTGTACACACAGCTGCCTGTCCTGTTGACAGGGATGGACACTGGATGTCCTCATCCGTCCCTGGTGTGTGTCTTCTCTCACAGCCCAGCCTGTTCAGAGGTGACTGGAAAGGAGCAGACTGCAGATGCTTTCTGAAGTTCCTAGGGTTAGGTTAATTTTAGAATCATGGCATTTTCAGATTCTGCCTAAAACTAGCACCACACAACACCCCATTAGAGGTGGGGTAACACGGCTAAGCGTAGCAGTTTACAAGACGGTCTTATATATCCCAAGGTAGCCTCAAGTTTGCTTTGTAGCTGAGGAGGACTTGGAACTTCTGATCTCTCTGCCTCCCTCTCCTGAGTGCTCTTCTCCTGAGTGCTCCTCTCCTGAGTGCTCCTGGTGTTAAGGGGTATGCCTCCATGCCACTGCTGCTGTGCTATGTTTATGTGGTACTGGGTATTGAACCCAGGGCTTTTTGCATCCTGGGCCAACACTGCCGTCTGAGCTATATCCCCAGCTTGGACACAACACACAGGCAGCAAAGCTATTGCATGTACAAAGGGGAGGAGCCATGACAACCAGCCTTACATAACTGTGGTTTGGTTTTCTGGCCATACAACCTCTTGCAGCATTGCATATAATTGAGGGCAAGAGTTAGCCCAATGTCCCGTGTCTCTTTCTGTTCGGTGATATCACCTGCAATTCCCTTCAATCCGTGTGTGTGTGTGTGTGTGTGTGTGTGTGTATGCAGGTGCTCCTGCGTATGGAGGTTAGGGGATGGCCTTGATTTCATGCCTCAAGCAAATCTATGATGATGATGAAAAAGAAGAAGGAGGAGAAGAGGAGGAGGAGGAGGAGGAGGAGAGGAAGAGGAAGAGGAAGAGGAAGAGGAAGAAGAAGAAGAAGAAGAAGAAGAAGAAGAAGAAGAAATAATATTTTCTCTCTCTCTCTCTCTCTCTCTCTCTCTCTCTCTCTCTCTCTCTCTCTCTCACTGGCCTGGAATTTGCCTAGTAGAGTTTGGATGACCAGCATAGGAGCTGGGCTCCTTCAGCAAAACAAACAAACAAAGAAACCAACCCAAAAACTGGGTTTTGGCAATCAAACTCAGGCCCTTGCACTTTCCTGACTGAGCTATCACTCCAGCCTGGTTTCCTTTCTTCTTAATGCCAGCCTATGACACAAATATGACCCTACTCCCTGTGGGAACTTTTGCCAACCTTCCTTCTTGACCTCATCCCATTTTTATCCTTCCTTCCTGCTTCTGGCTGGCTTGGTCAGTAGTATCTTCAGGTACCTCAACCATCTTTCTTCACGGCCCTGGGCATGTGGGATTGAAGGTGGGCACTTACGTGGGTCATCTTAAGCTTCATGCTCCTCTGGGAGTTCTGATTTCAGGATGCTGGAGTTGCTACACTGGAGAAGCATAGGCGGTTGAACCCCCTCCACTCTTTCCCTGCTGACTTATTTCAAGGCCGTGTCTCATTTGGGGGCTTCACAGTTGTTTCCATAGTGTTGGTGAAATGTCACAGCCCTGTGGTCGCACCTGGGGGATGTTAGATCTGTTCTCTCTATCTCATGCTGCAGTTTCCTGTCTCTTCATTTTTTCCACCCTCCTCCCTTTCCCCAGCCCCCACTAGAGCTCTTCAAGGGTCCACTCAAGCCAGGAGCTACAGCGTGTTATGTTCAAAGGAAACCGCCCTCCACCACATGCCCAGCAGAGAGCATGACAACTTTAGAACTGAAGGAATTTCCTTCCTCATCCCCAGGCTCTAACAGCTTCACCGTTAATTGTTGTTAGTCATAAATCTGAAGACAGATGTGATGGGTGTGGGGAGCTGATGGCTGGCCCTGTAGGAATGGATGTGACCTGGCCTTGAGGAACTTTAGAAAGAAAGTTGCTAAAAGGGGACTTTGAGCACACAGAGAACTTAACATCTTGACCAGACCGTGAATGGTGTATTCACCCAAGGCTTCCACCTCTAGGGTCAAAGCCTGTGTTCCTCCATTGAGGTCAGAACAGGGACAGGGCCTGCCTGGCTCTCCTGGAGTAACGCTGGTGTTATGTCTTGGATATTGTGGTGGTTTGAATAGATTTGGCCCCCATAAACTCATATGCTTGAATGCTTGGGCCAGGGAGTGGCACTGTTAGGAGGTGTGGCCTTGCTTAAGTGTGCATGGCCTTGCTGGAAGAAGTGCATCACTGTGGTGGTGGGCTTTAAGGTTTCGTCCTATGCTCAGGCTCTGCCCAGTGTGGATGGAAGTCTGGCTGCCTTAGGATCAAGATGTAGAACTCTCATCTCCTCTAGCACCATGCCTGCTGCACACTGCAGTGCTTCCCGCCATGAGGATAATGGACTAAATCTCTGAAACTGTAAGCCAGCTCCAGTGAAATGCTTTTCTTTATAAGAGTTGCCCTGGTCATGGTGTCTCTTCACAGCAGTGGAAACCCTAATTAAGACAGGTATGAAGTGTACCATAAAGGGCTCACAGCTGGAGCAGCAGCGCCATGGGGAGGTGAGCAAGCTTCATCTGTGAAGTACTCCTTGAAGGCTTCATGGCTAAATAGGCAGTGGGGCCAGGCCTTTGAGTGGTGTGTCTTATCCTCATGCCCTTCCCTCCTCTCTCTGTCTCCCTCTGTGTGTGTCTCTACTTTCTAGCTGCTGTAAAGTGAGAGGACTCTGCCACACCCGTTTGCCATAAAGTTCTGCTTCACCACAGGCCCAGAAGCAATGGTACCGGTCAGTCAGAGGCTGACATCTCCAAGACTGTGAAGCAAAAACTAACTCCTTTCTCCTTTGAAGTTGTCATCTCAAGTATTTTGCCATAACCATGACAACCAACACATCATGTTTCATCTTCATATTCTCTTTACCTTATAAAATTGGAACTCTTAAGCTGGACATGATCATGATCTGTCTGTGATTCTCGGTCCTCAGGAGCTTGAGTGGGAGGGTCATTTAAGTCCAGGAGTTTTAGACCATCCTGGCCAAAACAGATCTCTCTCCTCCTTCTCTGTCTCTCTCTCTTCCTACATGAACACATAAAATATTCTCAAACTCCATATCTCCATATTTTCTCTCTCCTTAGCCTTTCACTTGCTTATTAATAATTGTATTTCTTCTCTGAATAAATGTTTATTCTTTTGCTCCTGTTTTAATCATCTTGATTTTAGTTACTGTTTCAGATACTAATCTCTTATTAGAAATATGTTTTTGAAAATATTTTAAAATAATTTCAAAAGGTTTATTTTATGTGTATGAATGGTTTTTTTTCTCCTCCTCTGGTAGGAATGAAGATCTCCTTTGGCTACAGAAATGGCTGTAAAAATGGTCCCCAAGAAACTGGAATTTCCCTAGGAATCTCTTGCTGGGAGAAAGAAAAGGCTGAAGCTTGTGCCAACCAGAAGGACCTTGTCTCCGGTGTGGTTTACATCCATAGAACTAAGCACACAGGTGGGAAACATCAGTTAAAGTCAGTGTTGAGTCAGAGCTGCTAATCCTAGTCCCAGAGATGGGGTTCTTATCTTGTATTATCAGGTGGACCCAATGTCATCACAGTGGTCCCTTGCCCTCCCCTCTGTTCTCCTCCCCTCCCTCTCCTCTCCTTCCCCTCCCTTCTCCTCCCTTCCTATCCCTCTCTTCCCTTCCTTTTCCTTCTTTCCCATCTCTTTCCCTCCCTCTTTCCCTTCTTTTCTTTACTTTTTTTTTTCTTTCCAGAGCTGAGGACCGAACCCAGGGCCTTGCAGCTCTACCACTGAGCTAAATCCTCAACCTCATTCTTTACTTTTTTTGAGACAGGGTTTCTCTACGTTGTCCTGGCTGTCATGGAACTCACTCTGTAGACCAGGCTGGTCTCCAATCCAGCGATCCACCTGCTGCTGCCACCTGAATGCTTGGGATTAAAGACGTGCACAACTCTGCTGGGCGTATTACAGTGATCTCAAGTGGAAACACAAGAACATGAGGACTCATTGCTGATTTGTAAGATGAAAGATGAGGGCAGCGAGCTGAAGACTAAGGTCAGGCTCTCCCCTGTGCCAGGCAAGTGGTCTGCCCTTGAGCTGCGTCCCTAGCTGAGGCCTAGTTTAGACTTCTGACTTACAGAATGTGGAGGCAGGAACTGAAGCAGAGATCACAGGGGAACAGTGCTTACTGGCTTGCTCAGCCTGCTTTTTCTACAACCCAGAACTATCTGTCTAGCGACCACATTGCCCGCACTGTGTTACGTTTTTAGCAATGGGGTCTTAACATCTAACTGTGGTGGACGCCAGGAGCAACGGCAGCAGCATGGGCTGTTTTGAGGGCCTCTGGGAAGACTTTTTTTCTTTAACTATTTAGAAGGCAGACAAATAGTCTTTGCTGAACTTCTGAATTGTTGAGTAGGTTCTTGTTCTTTTGTTTAAATTTCCCTTAAGTTTTCTACTTTTATTTAGGAGGATGTATTTTCCAGTTTCCAGTCCAGGTTTTCTTTCTCAGACTCTGGGTAAACAAAGCCCTGGACAGTGCATGCTGACAGCTCCTTGGCAACTGCATCTGGATTCAGTGCCATCCAGGGCCACGGTACCTGACATTCCTTTCTGATTTTAGTTGTAATTTTTTTTTTTTTTGATAAGGATGATGGGTATATCAGTCAGGTGAAGGTAGCCCATATCTTTAACCCCAGCACTCAGGAGGCAGAGGCAGGCAGATCTCTGACTTTGAGTCCAGCTAAGTTTACAGAGTGAGTTCCAGGTCAGCCAGGGGCTACACAGAGAAACCCTGTCTCAAAAAACAAAACAAAACAACAACACCCCCCAATACAACAAACAAAAAACCCTTAGTCCGTTCGAGAGAACAATCTATTAACTGAGCTACATATCTACCCTTTGCCCGTTTCTTTCTGGAGAGTTGAACCCCTATGTGAGAGAGCGTGGTGCAGTGTTTCGGGTGTTTGTTGTGGGAGCTGAGGTCACAGCTTCTGGGCGCCTCCTTTGTGGTTTTCTTTCTCTCTCTGTTTTTGTCTTAGGGCCTGCTGACATTCAGGATGGCATGTGACCACAGTGTAGAGAGCTAATTCTGATATGAAGTGAAGCTGACTTAGGAACTCAGATACATGTGAATTGGTGTGCGCCTGCTTCAATGCTGAATCCTGAGGGTCTTAGTCTGGGAAGATCAGATCAGTAAAGCAAATCCTCAAAGATGCCAGGCAAGGGACCATATGACGAGGGGAAGGTGTGGCTGTCACTGAAAAGTGCTCCTGGGATCCTGGGGTTGGCAGTGAGGCTGGTTTTCAGAACTGGATAGGTGAATGCTGCAAACGCTTCCACAGGGTTCGTGACCTCAGTCATCTCTGTCATGTCCCAGAGCCGCTGCAGTGAGTCTTCCTCTGCCTGGGGATAATGCCTGCACATCCAAGAGTGACCACACAAGTGAATTTCCTTTCCTCATGTAGTGGTTTGAATAGGTTTGGCCCCACAGGCTCCTGTGAATGCTTGGCCTTAGGGAGTGGCCTTGTTGGAGTAGGGGGTGGGCTTTGAGGTCTCCTATGCTCAAGCAATACCAGTGTGGCACAATTTCCTTCTGCTGCCTGTGGAGAAGCTCCTTCTCCAGCACCATATCTGCCTGCACGCTGCCACGCTTCCCACTGTGACGATAATGCACTAAACCTTTGAACTGTAAGCCAGCCCCAGTTAAAAGTTTCTTTTATGAGAATTATTATGAGCTGAGCATGATGGAAAGGAGCTACACACCTTTCCTCCCAGCACTCGGGAGGCAGAGGTAGGCAGATCCCTGAGTTCCAGGCCAACCTGGTCTTTAGAGTGAGTTCCAGGACAACCAAGGCCACACAGAGAAACCTTGTCTGGAAAAAAAGAAAAAATCAACCACAAACAAAAAAGAGTTGCTGGGCACATGGTGTCTTTTCACAGCAATAAAACCCAAACTAAGACACCTCGTTTAGGTGCTCAAAGGATACTTAGGCCTCTTACCTTTCACTGGTACTTGAGCCTGCAAGTCCCAGGAAGTGGGCTTGAAGGAGCAGCAGTTTACCTGGGCGCTGGACCGATGGTGGAGTTTACCTGGGTGCTGGACCGATGGTGGATGGTGGCAGCAGAAGTGGCTCACGACATATGCAGCATTCAGGCCCTGTGTGGCTCTATCTTCATTCCCCACAATGCAGAAAAGGGATCTGAGGGAGGGGTAGGCCTGCCTCTTTCACAGAGCTTCAGGGATTCCCTACTTACTCCTGTGTCTGAGTGATTCCTCTTGCTAAAGATGAGTGTAGGCAACACACAGCAGGTCTAGTCGCTGCCTCACCCCCCAGCTCTCTCTGAGACTAAAGTACTGCAGGTCCTACCAGCTACCACATGCCTCCATCTCCCCCTCTGCCTGTGAGTGTCAGCCGAAGCAGGGGTAAACTGCAAAGAGCCAGTCTGTGCAGCCGAAGCCAGATTGTTCCGTTCTCAGGAATGTTACAGTGACACGCTGTAGCATCAAACTGGCCATGGTGGGACGCTTGTGGCGGACAGTGTAAATCAGCAAATGCTACACATGAAGTGCTACGGACAGCCAGAGGCAGCTGGTAAACACTGGCCTTCCTGTTCTAACTGCCTGCTGGCGAGGGTGAGGGTGAGAACTGTCACCCTTCTTCATTGTTTGGATCATAGAGAGACCTAGCTGAAAGTGCCCATGAGAAGCTCTTGTTTTCCTGCCCTGAGTAGACAAGGGTCCTCGATTAGTAGAACTGGACAGAGGGACCTCCCCTTATTTATAGTATCTGAACCACTGGCTGCATTTAAAATACATATAATGCTTGCCATATTTACCATTTCTTTTTTTGTTTTGTTTTGGAGACAGGGTTTCTCTGTATAGCCCTGGCTGTCCTGGAACTCACTCTGTAGACCAGGCTGGCCTCAAACTCAGAAATCCGCCTGCCTCTGCCTCCTGAGTGCTGGGATTAAAGGGTGTGCCACCACTGTCTAGCCCATATTTACCATTTCTAAGTATATAGCTGTGTGTGTGTATATATATATGTATATATACACATTTATTTATTTAATTTAGACAAGCTCTCACTACATAACCCTGGATGGCACTAAACTGACCAGGTCTGGCTTTAAACTCACAGAGATCCACTTGCCTCTGCCTCCCAAGTGCTGGGATTAAAGACCTGGGTCACCACGATACCATATCATGTATGTTAACTGATATATTTTAACTGAGGCAGTCAGTTATTACTGGATTCTTGTCCAGCCCTCCTCTAAGAATGGAGTGGGCAGACAGCAAATTCCTATTTGCTGTTTTACTTTATTGTCAGTCCCTGTTGACAGTTCAGGACTGACTTAAACAGGTAGAACAACTTATAGTAAGTAGATAGCAACATGGGGTGGGAGCGGTGCTGGGCTCCAGGCCGGCATCCTGGAACGATTACATACAAAGCTCTGCAAGGTGTGGGTGCCAGTCAAGGGCCACCCTCCCGAATAAATCTGTGACTGTGAGAAGAGTGTCATCTGATGTCTGTAGGCTGGAAGCTACTACAGGAATTCCTTTCATTTGCCAGACGTGGAGTCTAGAGGCAGAATCGGTCAGGGAGGATAGCTTGGGCAAGCTAAGGGCTTTCTCCTCCTTCAAATTCGAATGCACTGTCTTCGTTGGGGTTTCCATGAAGAGACATCATGACCAAGGCAACTTTTAAAAGACCAACATTTAATTGGCTTACAGTTCAGAGGTTCGGTCCATTATCATCATGGCAGGAAGCATGGCAGTGTGCAGGCAGACATGGTGCTGGAGACACTGAGAGTTCTGCATCTTGATCCACAGGCAGCCAGGAGGAGACTAACTCATCCTCACTTCTGCAGTCAGCTAGGAGGAGGCTCTTCTCCATTGGAGGGAGCTTGAGCCTAGGCCTTCAAAGCCTGCCCCCACGGTGACACACTTCCTCCAACTAGACCACACCACCAACTCCAACAAGGCCATACATCCTAATAGTAGCAGTTTCCATGGGCCAAGCATATTCAAACACGCACTCTGTGCTTAGATTTAAGGGTGCCCAGACAGGTTGAATGTGGGCATAAAAATACGGTGAAAACTAGAACCAGTTGTGGAAGGGATCAACTGTGATAAAGAAGGGAGACCCTGACCCAGCCCCCAAAGTTGCTAAGTGTTTACAGTGAGGTGTGAGAGCCTGTCTCTGCTGTTGCTGTCTCGCCATCAGTTCTGGTGGTCCCTGCAGCCCTGCTGCCGCTTTCCTGCTTCCGTTAGCAGGATGTGCTCTGTGGCTGCTGTTCCTGTACTATCTGTTGTTAACTGTCTGCTACCCAGGATGTCAGGACAGTCAGGGAGCTCTGTGCTTGGGTTCCCATATGCTGTTAGGGAAACCACAATACAAATTAACTAGTAACTGTACGGAATATGTAAAGTTAGGAGATATCTAGTGGGAGGACAAGCCAGGGCTAGTGAGATGGCTTAGCTGGTAAGGGTGCTTGCAGATCAAGCCTAAAGACCTGAGTTCAATCCCCAGAATCCATGGTAGGAGAGACGCCTCTTCCAAAAGTTGTGTTCTTGTGTGCCTGTGCTCACATACAAAAATCACACACACACACACACACCAATAATAATAATAATAATAATAATGGTTATTAAACGCTTTAACCTCCCTTTTAGCCCACCACCCACCAGAGGTAGTGGAAAAGAAAGGCTATGGGGGAAGTGAATGCTTAGAAAGGTTCTTTGGAGCAAGTCCCGTCTGTGTTGTCTGGAAGTTGACAGTTCAGTTCACAGGTTAGCAGTGGCAGCTCAGTCCACTTGCAGACACTTTACAGATGCTCCAGCAGAACAGTTTGATAGAGTCCGGATAGCAAACACGAATCAGCAGCAGTGGCACGACCTGGCAGAGAGCCGGCTTCAGCCCTGGTTCGAGTCAGCAGGAGGGACCAGCAGGA